ATGACTGAAGATGCAGTTCTTAAATAATCATGCCCTAAGACTGTTTTCGTATAACCGTTTTTCGCTTTAATTCGTATCATTTTGAGACTAAGCACTCAATTCGTTTAGTCATCAAATCGCCTAAGGCATAGCACATCATCCCTTAAAAATACGATAACAGCATAATTTTTGGTATCTCGTCTTGTGATTATTTTGTAATTTTTCGTTTGTCTTCAAACGACAGTTCTGCTTCGAATCAAAACGAGTCAATGATTCGTTCAGTGAGAGACATGAACGGATGAATCAATGAATGCTTATGATAAACTACACAAGTTAAGACTAAAAACCTTTCAAAATTTAATGCAGAATAACAGGTAGTGATTCAAGTTGTAGCATGTTTCAATGTAAAAACGAACGTTCCTCAGAACATCAGCTAGGCGACGAATTTAAGATTTTGGCAAAGGATGTCCTTGTGGTTTTACCCATTTCTGACCGGCATCCTTCGGAGTCTTTTTGGATTCAATCTCGATATAAGCGACCAGGTCCTCACGATCTTGTGCTTTCTTCAAACCGACGCAAACCATTTTTGTGCCGGGAATATACTTTCTTGGATCTAGCAAATAGTCGAGCAGAGTTTGATGACCCCACACTACACCCTGAAAAATAGTTACGCGATCAAATAGGACATCTGCATACTCTGTTAAACAAATTCTAAACAGCTGTAACAGCTCTACAGATAAATCCTTAAATAGATTTTGCAAGCTCATTCACAATTGAATTTTGGTGAAGTGAGAAGTTCTGAAGAAGTATCGCAGAGCAACTGACCTTCTGCGTGCTCGCTTCAGAATGATCATAGCCCTCAACCGAGCCGGACTTTCGGCCGATCACTCCGGAAAGAGTTGGTCCATTCTTACACGCTATTGAATCAATCACATGGCACTGTGCGCAACGTTTCATGAATATCTTCTTGCCTCGTTCGTAATCTCCCATTTCCGGGGATTTAGTTTCAGCAGATTCGAGATTTATTCTGAACATATCAATTCATTAACAGCTGCATCGAGTGAAATGCAAAAAACTTTCTCGAGGAACATTAAAATTCTTGGAAGAAAGAACATCTAGTGCCCTACAGTGGACTACCGTTGCAATAGGGATAACATCTCTCTGCAGTAACATTTATTCATAAATCTCCAAGACGGATCCCAACAATTTATCCCTCAGTTTCTGTGGTGCTCGTCGTTGCAGGCATTGTGGCATAACAATGAAATTCGCAGTCTAAAACAGAGAGAATATCAAACGAAGCAAATTCCACTCTCACTCACACGACCACGAACGATTTCATTGGATTANAGTTCGGGTTACTGGAAGGAACTACATCTCGTTTGAATGCATTCGGAGTCAGCGGATCGACTGAAAAATGTGCGTGAAATCAAACGCATAATCAGAACCCGTTCTTATCGCATGTGTCTTTTGCAGAATGGAACCTTCAGAATTCAGCCAGCATTTTTCCCCATCTCAATCAAAACAACACATAGACAAAATGCACTTTGCATCAGCATACACACAATAAACGGTGTCGGATTTTGCAGTCTTCAAGCGCTACGCAATGCTGTACATAGGAAATGTTTACGGCATTGAATCAATAAAGCTGCTGCTAGCACTGCTCGTTGGCATGCTATAATATTACGTGCACATTGACTGGAATAGTGTTTCGGAGAATATGCACTAAAAGTGAAGATGGTAAGTCAGTCACTTAATTCATTGTGGAAATGCTGTCTTCTTCGGGCAATATTTTAATGGTTACAACAGCGAAATCTATCAGCATATTTAAAACATAATAAGCAATCCAACATGAACATAATAATCTTAGTCATTGATATCAAAATGTAGTGGACAATCGCATCTGACAAGAATTATTTTTAAGCAATTGAAACAGAGACGAAAACTCAGTTTCAGTTTGCTAATCCGAGAGAATTATCATCTTAAAGAAGTTCCATGGAGGAGTTACACGGAGATCAATTCAAAATAACGTGCTAAAAACATAACAAATGAAAAATAGCACCCAGTGGCTCGATGAGAGCAGTCTGAAATGAGCACCTGCAATATGGACGTTTTTTGCAAATATTTTCAACGATATCGATTAACGGTGAACAGAAGAACGCTTTTATTCGTTCATTGCATTGGCACCAATGAAATAATGTACGCAGAACATTTTCCACATATTTCCTCTCTCAATCACATCAGCCAGCCAGCCTCCTTGAGAAAAACGATTTGACACTATAGAATGAAACATCTCAAATTGCTTTTCCACAGATAAATATGAGGGGAACATCAAAGATCTGATTTTTGATTTGCATCAAATGTTTGTCGATTGGTTAATAGATAGTGTTGAGGAGATTCGAGCATATTGTTCCTATGTAGAAGTCAGATCTTATGTTGAAACACATGGAAAATGATAATCCGAATCGATTATGGAAAAGTTCTTTTTTGGCAAATTTGATGAATAACCTTCTCACGAGGAATCTTTTCATGCTTAACATAAGCAGTCCTCTGACAGCAAAGACCATTCAATATCAAAAATGGT